GACAACTAACTAACCTACAGAAACACTTTTCCATGATATTTTTGGACAACAAACTCAAATGACAAGTCCTTAGACAAAATTAAACATTGTGATTCTTAGAAATACCTTGAATATTGCTCAGAATTGCAGTAATAAATTTTTTAATACCCGATCTGCTCGATAAAATCTCCTGGTTAAGTAAAATTAACCCTGAAGAATTGTAGAGAACTGACTGGCTTCGAAACATATTTTTTACCATGAACCAACATTAGCTTTGAAAAGGGTGGAAGCGAAGAAACACATTTCGCCTTTGTATCTATAAATGGCGCTCACCGACTAATTTGTATACGACTGAAAGCGGAAGATTGGAATTTTCGTGAACATTCTCCAATTTCTTTCCAGTTATCATATGACATGAATGTCATTGGATGCTATTACCAAGCAACGATTTTTATAACAAACTTGAGTGACTCGACTTCTTTTAGCTTTTTAGATAAATTAGTGCTGATTGCCATTCTGTATTGTATTCAGAAATTACAGTGAAAATTGTTTAGGGTCTAGAAATGTGATTCTCATGGGGGAATGTAAACTGTTTAAGTTTCTGTCTCATTCAACCAGTTTAGAGAGTGAATTATTTTTTTTAATTGTACACTAGTCAGTAACCAGTGTAATGTGTCTAGCCCTATCTTCGATGCAGACTGAATTCTACCAGTCAAGCTTGCAATGTGGCCACCATTCTAGGTGACTCACCATTACGGTGCACTGTGAAGTGTTGGTATTAGATGGTTGGAGGCAATTGGCCACAGGAAGCCTTGGACCTAGGTTTCGTGCTATTTGGCGCTCATCAGCAAGGTGTATCTGCAAACTTGAAGGAACTCATGTCCCTTCTGAGATTCGAAGACACTTGGTAATCTGCTTTAGACTTAGACTTCATGCATACAGACACCCGACATTGAAACGTATGCGCAACATTAAGGTAATTCATGTCCTATTAGTGCTACCATTTTCTTTGTGTTACTTAGTTTCATGGTCAAAATCTTTCTCGTCATCCATTCAAACAAAGAATGACGCCCCATTGAGACTGTATTATACAAATCAAACGGTAATCTAAGTGAGTGTTCGATCGTAGGTATGTTGAACACGACAGTTAGTTCTATTGAAAAATACTTATAAGTTAAGGGATGTTTGTGTAAAAATTAAGAGTAATCACCGAAAATTTTCATGATTATCTAAGTTGTAACGATAGTCACCAACCTCTGAAACTACTCATTTGAGAAAAGAAGCCATTGAAAATTGTGCCTTTTGCGAAATTGCCATCTAAATTATGGCTTACCTATCCAAACAGATTTCTTGGTCGACTGTGTTCCGTAGAAAATATTAATTAGTGAAGACAGAGTTTCTAGAGTTATTATTTTGAAATATCTCTAAGATTTTATGAGTCATTCTGAACTGTTTTAAACTGAGAGTTCATTAGTTCTTATCATCTGGAAAACCAACCAGGAGACGAGGCTGAATCCCTAAAACTCACTGTGGTATTTTCCCTAATGAAATCCTAATGACCGTCGACTGTTTTGATCAACTGGATCGGACTTAATAGCCTTTAGCTTAATTAGTAATAGAACAAAAGTAACCATTTTGGCCTTCTCTATCACCTTGTTTATAGGATCCTTCACATTCTATCATTCCAACCTCAGCTGCCTCGTAATATACAAGCAGCGCTATGCTACCAACGCTAACATATTTTTCTAACCTGAACTTTTTCTAGACGAAGCAATAGCCTCCTTACTGTTCATTATAGTGCCTCACTATTCCACTGTATATTCTTCTATTTCATTGGCATTTTCACAGCCGTCTAACTTGAACATCATTAATGTAGTGGTTGATGATGTCTGAAGGTAAATGGACCCCAAACCAGTAGTTTAGAAGCTTCCGATTCAAGTCATACCATGAGTCAAATTTCCATTTCATCTTCAATGAACACCTATAGTATCAATAACAGTTCACTGACCTGAGGATATCACAAATAGTGTCACTATTATTTGAAAAAGAGAAGACGTTCAGCGAAGAGATTCTTTTCGGCGAAGTCATTCACATAGCTGTACATTCGCATTTATATATAATTATTTGTGTGTGTGTGTGTGTACATGAGGTTTGTCAATTTTGGATAACTGATCAGGTAATACAAGAATGATCTAATATAGAAACAAGGTTAATTAGACAACAACTAAAGTAAGATTGAGTTTGTAAGTTAGATGATGTAATATAATTGACTGAAATGTTTCAACCTAGGTCACGATAGCAACAGAGGTAATTACAGGTAGAGACTAAGTAAAAGTGGGGTAGACAATAATGCCATTTAAATTAGAACTTGAATTGAGCAATTAAGTTGGATGACGTAACTTAAATAACTAGAAATTAAACGTTGGTCAAGTCAGTAACAGTGGTAGTGAGGTGTAGAAATTAAGTCGGGTGGGGGTAGAGAACAACAAAGTTGAAAATGCAAAATATTACAATTGATAAGACAAAATAATACTAATGAAGAGACAGAAAAAAAGATTAGGTAAAATTTACTTGTCGGGTAATAAGATAGATTGCGTCCATCGGAAGTGTATTGATTGAACGAAGTCCTTCTGTATGCAGATTTTAGGGCTTAGCAAGTGAATCGCCATTGCTTCTGCAGTTTGAAGAAGTCTGATTCGTACACCTTTAGGAAGACTACTTCTTACTCTGTAGACGACTTTGAAGTCGTATAAATGCGATTGTACAGCTATGTGAATGAATTCGCCGAAAAGAGTCTCTTCGCCGAATGTCTTCTCTTTATCATATGACTCAATGGTGATTTTCAAGTCCCTATTATTTAACATTGTTGTTAATTCATACGAACTGTAATCAAGATGTGACCGGATAGTTGCAAAATAATTGATCGCTGAGTGAGAAGTAGACATTTATAAAGTTATATTTGTTGTTAATTCTTATTCTTAAATACAATAACTTCGCTCGTATTATCTTTAGGTCACGGTATTTCCCTGGTTACGAATGTTAAGTCATACTTCACATGTTTTAACTGTACATTCTTGTCTATAAATGTGGAGGAAATCTATTTCCTACTAGGATTTTTCTTAAAAGATTTAACTCTTCCTCCACAGTATCAGGAGGACTACCTATGCACCAAATGTGAGCGGCAAGCGATCGGATCATGTTTTTTTTGACTAATTGGTACTCAGCTGTGGAAATTCGTCAGTTGAACATTCCACAATAGTTTTTTATAAATCGATCTGTTCAGAGTTCCATCGGTCCGCTTTGGTAAGTTTACATCAAGGAGATGAATGCTAAACTCGCTGTCGATTTCGAGTGTGCTGAACGGCAACCATTAAATGCATTTAATATATTATTTAAATTATAATCACTATTACAAATAATAAATGTGTCATGTACATACCTTTTATACATTTGAAAACTTTTGATTGTCGACCTCAAGTGATCATTTTAGAAACTGGCCATAAAACAATCTGCAAGGAGAGGATCTAAGGATAATCCCTAATTTTTCATTTGGTCTATTCAATTTGAATACTTTTCTTTTATTACGTCAGTTGTTACTATTACTTTTCTCACTTTGAATTGTCGCGGTGTTATTTCACTCGTTCCTGTTGTCATTCTGAATCAATTTGGTTTTGAAGCGCTGAATTCTATATTATCAAATTTCACACTACGTTACGTAACGTCTTCATTTTTATTGTACTTGCCTACTAATCCTATAGTCTCACAGCCCTTCCAAGTTCTATACATTCAATGAATTGTTCTATATGTGATATTAATTGTTTTGCCATTTAACACTCTACAAATATGATTATAATCACAAACATTTTGATCTTAATTGCACTTCGCACTACTATTATTATTTAATCTATTCACATCTATGATTCAATTCTCTCATTGACTATAATTTCTTAAAAACCGTATGAACATACCATTGTAAAGCTTGATAATAAATTTGTTGAAAAGAGTCTCTCCATTGAATTACTTGTTTTGATTTTCAGTATGTCCCGAGGGGAATTTTCCATGAATAAAAGAATAGGAATCCCTTGAAATTGCGCCCCATAATTTTGATATATCAGGTCAAAATGACCCCGGACTATGTATATGGTCGGCGAGCATCCTAACTAAAATGAGTTTCCTCATTTAGTAATATAGTCTCTTTCCAGACGACAATCTGGATTGTTCAAATTCTCAGTTTATATAAGTTGTTTACTCAGTAAATATGGATAAACTAGCGAATTAGCTGCATTTTGTCATCACTTGTTTCTTGATGTGTTTCATTTTTCCGGCGATTTTCTCAAAGCATATAAGAAACGATATGTACTAGTATTCCGTCCCCAATAACTGATCACTCTTAAATCATTCCGTAGTCTATATTCAAGTCACTTTTTTTATTACTTTATGTTTCCAGTGGAACATAGGGCTTCAAGCTAGAACTTCAAAGTTTCGGTAGCAGTGGTGTTTATTTTAACGGAATAGGGTTGCTAGCCCAACCTTCCGTCTTTACCAATCCGGTTACTAGCTTAGCGAGGTAAAGAAATTCATCGGCCTAGGCTCGAAACCCGGACCACGTGTGGCTTGGCTGGAGAGTATTCTACTGCTCTGCCACCAACACACAATTTTCAAGACATTACTGTTTAACAGAATACGAGGTATTTAAAATGTGCAAAAGAAAACAACATGTATGCATGCATAGATGTTTATAATTAGATATTATGAATAATATTATTAAGACAATTGAAATAAATTTAGTATACTAATTTAGCTACTTATAAGTAGTTTCAAGTTTTTAAACGAAAAGTATTAAGTCTTGGATTATGTTTCTATTAGAAAACTATTATATCCAGAAAGATTATCATAATCATATTACATTCAGCATTTCTAGTAACGACAACAAATTGGATACCTTTTATAACTTATTAAGAAATTTCAATTATGCTGCAGTGTCATGTACTTCGCTTTCACTCTCTATCAGATTCTCACTTTTATTTCAAGGAGTTGTACAGTTTATTTTCTTTTTGCGTTTTTTTCTTTTTCGAATTCAATAATTGTTTATTTTTATGACTAGTTGATTCAGGCGATAGATTTTCTTTATCCTTCACTGTTTCAGATATTATATCCACTGACTGTGGTGATGACTTCTCTGTAGAATGTTTAAAGTAACAGTTATCACCATAAAAACAATATCCAGTTGTTGAATAATAACGACATAGTCGACTACGAAATTTCGGATGACTTTTAGGATCACGTAATTCTTCATTACCATGTGCAAAATGACACTGTGAACCAACAGGACAATAACCATCACGTTCTTCGAAATGTCTGCATACTTGACTTTTATATCGTATATTCAAGTGTTTATCTCTTTGATTCTGTTTATCACCATTGGGAGTCTAGGGAGGGGAAAAACAATAGGATGGTGAAGAAAACGTTTTAAAAAAAAGCGTGTCATTATTTCGACATCAAGTTGTAATTCTTAAACTTCTTATTTTACACAAATACTAATCAACTTTCTGATTTCTGTAAAGTGAAAACAAAAAAAATAAAGGAACTTGGAATGGGAGTACTGTTTAGTCCTAGTTTGGGACTCTTCAGTAGTACGCACCCACCGGCAGAAGTTAAAATTCATGGACTGACTGGCCATTGGGTTGGGTCTCAGTGGCTTAATGGTCTACCAGCTAACTCGCTAGCCTTGTAACCAGAAGGTTATTGGTTCAAGCTTTGGTGGTGGGTGCGTATTGATGAAGATTCCTAAACTATGGCGAAACAGCTGGCTGTCCAGTACTCCCTGCAGGTTTTCCAATGGTTCTCTAACCGATGTCAGCTCATGATGAAATCCCCCAATAATAATAATAATAATTTGCTTTATTCCAAAACAGTGCTTGTGATAAGAGAATGGAATTCTGAGCATTTTACTACAGTATTGCATCCACTTAGTACATTATCAATAAATAAAATTCTATATAGATTAAGGAAATCTCAGTTCATTATGACAACAACATATTGGCATGTCAGTAGCAAAGCCAAAATTGAACAGAGTGTTTGAAGGTGTTCGAAAAGTAGATGCTAGCATATTTACTGGCGTAAGCGATAGCAAAATGGTCGAAATATACAGTGTGTGAGAGAAAGAAGAAGAATGTTTTAATAGAGTTTGTAAGGAAGAGAGAAACAAAGCAGCGCATAAGAGAAAAAAAGAAAAGGAAAAGAAAGAAAGAAAACCTTGTACCTATAAATGATATGAGTTGGAAAGACGAGATCCAATTGTTCTACTGACTATTTAATAAGTCATAGGTATCATGCCTAATGCTTTCTTTATCTCACAGAACACGAGCTAAGTAGGCTATGTATGGTGGAGTTTTTGTACTTGCTGGTGCTGGCATATAGTTTCCTATATAGGCTTGTGGTTCTGACTGATGAGATACAGGGGGAGAGTTGTGAATGAAGAGGGTGGCGTGAGTTAGATAAAATGGATTTAGCCCATTTTTCACATGAGTCCATGTGCCTGTCGACCAGAATATTAACAAGCTGGTTAAGTGGCACATTGCTTACCCTGCTGACAACCTTTAACATCCTGCATAATAAGATGTGTAGTCTTTCTTCAGTAGTCAGCCCAGGATAAACTAAGGGGGAACAATAGAGAATAATAGGCAGGATGCAAGAGTTGACGAGTCGTAAAAGTAAGGGTTGGGTTATTTCAGAATGTCTTAACTTCTTGATGTAGAAGGTAAGACGGAATATTTTCTTAGAAACCATCAAGAAATGAGTCGAACAGGAAAGATCAGCAGATATAATGACGCCTAGGTATTTAATTTCTGACTTGGTCTCTATTTCATTGCCATCTATGTTGCACACCTCGTGATTTCTAACCAGTTTGTTTAGGTCGGATTTATGCCTAAAGTGAAAATGACAGTTTGACATTTAGAGGGATTTAAGGTAAGATCGTTTTCATAGGACCACTGGCTGATTTCTGATAAAAATCCATTTAGTTTGGGGCAGTCACTTTGACGCTTGACAGGCGAAGATACAGTCAGGTAGTCAGCATATTTAACAAAATTAATGTCATCTGAAGATGGTAGGTCATGTAGAAAGAAAGAAAGAAAAGAGAAGTGGGGAGAGTACAGCACCTTGGGGGACACCAGCTTCAGTGAGCACAGCAGAGGAGGATTTACCTTTGTACATAGTGAACTGAATTCTGTTTGAGAAGTAGGAATGCAACCAGTTAGTGTCCTAGGACTTAGTTTGTGTCATCGAGAGCTTATTTAGCAAGAGACATCTAGGTACAGAGTCGAAAGCAGAAGTGAAGTTGAGAGACATGCAACGAACGTATTTGGCACCTATCACTCAAAGAAAATCCCTACAAAAACCAATACTTGAAAATTTGGAATGATAATTAAATATGTTTTGAGTTAGTGAAATTAAATCTTAACAAGATGAGTTCATTCGACCAGTTTGTTAATATAAAACTTATTCAGTTGTTAAGTAAAGAAAAATGACCCTGAACAATATAATTTAGATAATCATACATTGAGAATTCAATTTCATACCGGTATGACTTCAGCTTATATACACTCATTGTGATACATAGTTTTATAATATACCCTAATATCATTGAAAGATAACTATCTAAAATATTTTTTTTTAGAAAATAACACTAAGAGGAGAAAACAAGGTCTTTGTAGACAGAGGGAGGGAGACAAGGGATCACTTAGGTACTGCAATGAAGTTTTTTAAATGAATACTCAAATTTTGGCTGAATAAGTACTAAAGGGTACCTGGGCAAAGTTAAATTATCATAGCCAAAACCCAAGTGCCTGTGAACTGCAAGTCAGAATTCAGATACAAAATAGTCGCATAATCGTTGAAAAATTCACTGAAAGAAAAAATGCAAACGTGATAATACACTCTGTGGTTGTAGGTTATATCTTGTAAGAATATCTTCTAGTCACTACATAGATGATCTATGGAGAAACTGTACTATGCGCGATATATCCATTCATCCAGGTGACTGTAGGTCATGGTAACTTGAAGTCCATTGATATTTCTACCACTATTCTTCAGTCTACTCCTAACTCTAACCATAAGCCTAACCCTAACCCTAACACTAACTTTAACCCTAAACCCCTAACCATAACCCTAGAGCCTAAATCTTCATCTTAAAAGCCATAACCCTACTTAACTTTATAGATTTACTGAAAAAGTACCTAAAAAAGAAGGCATGATTTGATTTGGAATGACTTTCCATAGCATTCCTTGTATCTGATTGATCCTTGAAAGTCAACTTTTGAAAAACTTTGATTATGACTGTGATAATTTAGCTTCACCAGTACCTGAAAGTTCAGCTATGCAGACGAGGCACTACTATCAGATTGCTTCGTGATAAGCTTTGAGAAAGGTCCACTAAAGCCGAGCACTGACAATTTATGACTGTATAAGAAGATACGTAGACGACATTTTCATTATTTGTGACAACAACAGTGACCACAATCTACTGCTGAAGACATTTAACTGTTGCCATCCAGCAATAAAATTCACCCTGGAAATGGAAAACGAATCGAAAATTCCCTTTCTTGATGTGGAACTAACAAGAGGAACTGATGGGAGCCTAAGAAGATCGATCCATAGAAAACCTACTTGGAATGGTCAACTAATAGCTTCTATAGCTGGGTACCCTTTCAACAAAAGCGGAATTTAATTCAATTACTTGCCACCTGCATCCGACTCATCTGTAGTTCCAACGTTCTGGAAAGAGAATTAGATATTCTGAGAGGAATCTTCATACTAAATGGATACCCAATAAGATTCATCGACAAAATTATCAAACCAAAAATTTCGAGAAATGAAACTTCACTTGCACCTAAAATGAAACTCTACATGAACTTGGATTTCAAGGGAGATTTGATAAGCGATATTCTCAAGAGAAGGATCACATCATCTCTGAGAACAACATTCTTTGCAGTAACACTAAGAATAGTGTTCTCCAGTCGCTCACTAATCTGCAGAAGCCTCAAGGACAAGATCCCGCATCTGGCCACTTCTTTGTGCATATATCAGCTCACCTGCTGCTGTGGAGCCAGGTATATCGGTCGTTCAACGCGTATCCTGTCCAAGGGGATTCAAGAACACTATCCATCATGGTTGAGATAAGGCAATAGTGGTGCAATGAGGAGTGCGATAATTGAACACCTGGTTAACCCTGATCATTCCATCTCAACAAACGCCTCCTTTAAAGTAATCAAACTCACCTACATTGGTTAAAGTTGCGATATATAAATCTATGTGAATCACAGTAAAGCCTAAAAAAGATCTAATTGAAAACAACAATACTGTTTGCTTATATGTCTTGTTCTAATATGAATACTGGCAATATTTAAAGATTTGAAATCAAAGAACCATGAAGATCTGGTAAGGACAGACTAATTATTTCGTTTTGTCTTAAAACTACTGCATATTTTACTGTTGGATTCGTATGGGATCGAATCCAGCATTGTCATATCGTGTGGTAATTCTGTTTGGACTGATGTGTTATTCACCAAAAACGACTTTTCCATAATTTCCACTAGTTAATCATCAAATATCCTCAAACTGGATTTGTTTAACTCCAACTACAATAGCTGCCTGTATCATCTTAAGGGAATTTTATTTCGAAGATGCTTAACGATAGACTTCTGCGAATCTACTTCAAGATGGCTTCAAGGACAATAAAGTGTTTGAATAACTCATTTTTAATTAGACCATGCAGTATTTAAAAGGGCCCATTTTTGTCTTCAAAACTATACTAGAATTCCTATTACAAGTTATCAGAAAATAATTTTAGTTATATCTAATTTTCATTTTATAAGATATTGTACTCGGTTGAAGTCAGCTAATGGAAGCCAAATTCTTAGGCGTTGATCACGGATTGATATCAGTTAGAGAAGCGTTGAAAACCAAGGAGTTCTGGACAGCTGTTATATCCTAGTTTGCAAATCATCGCCAGTACGCACCCACCACCAGGCTTCGAACCCAGCACCTTCCGGTTACAAGGCAAGCTGATACAACATTCAGCCACTGGGACCCGATTCAACGCCCAGCTCATGAATTCCAACTGCTACCGATTCGTGATTTAGAGTGGCCACCAACCACTGCTGTAGGTGGGACATCCATCCTCACACGTGACATCTGGATGAACCTCACTGGTCACCACTCCTCACTAGAACTCCAGGAAACTCCATCCTATAGAAAATTAATCTGATGCTCGCCAGTGACTTGCTACGGGACGGAGTTTCCTGGAGTTTTAGTGAGGAGTCATGACCAGTGAGGTCCATCGAGATGTCACGTGTGAGGATGAATGTCCCAACAATGACATTAGTTGATGTCAGTTGCACTAAATCAAGAATTGGCAGAAGTTAGAACT